TTCTTTTTGAAGTTTTACACATTATGTGACCAAAACCCATACAGTATTGCAAAGACTTGAGGCTTCCTTGTGGATACACAAACAAACCAGGGACAACCAGAAAGTCCTGGGTATCAGATGTGCTTTTCAGGAATTTAGCAGCATTCACAGCAGCTTTTTGCTGTGACTGCTGCTTAAGCAGATGTCACACCTGACATGCTGTGGAAAATAAATGTCCCAAAGAACATGGAGATGCTTTCAAGTGTATTTGGAAAGTAGAGGTGACCATACAGACAAATATGACTGAAAATGATTGAAGTGATCCCTCACTTCCTGGCCACCCTATACTAAAAATGTCTGATAAAACAAATAGAAGAATGAGGCATTCCTAATGAACAAAATCCCAGATTAAGATTAGTCACCCTATACAGTGAAGCATAGTATTTTATTCATATTTGAACTAAATCCCAATTATCTGCTGGAACAGCAGTATCATGATCTTAGTTCTGTATAAAAGTTTAAAGAAGATGGCTGAGACTTAACAAGCTCCTTAACATCACTAGCATTAGTTGTAACCTAGTAACCTTGTTGGTAGATCACAGCTTTAATATGAGAAAGTGAACAGGCAGTGGAGAACAGGGCACTAAGAAACAATGAACGCAGTTTACACAAGTAGGAGTTGAACACAAGGAATGCACAGCAGCCAATTTTATCAAAGTACATGAAAAATCCATCTCCATTTGGTCCTCTCAAATATGCAAAAATCAGGACAGTAATGCTAACTTGAAGGATATAAGCAGGTTGGAATTCACTCACATTTTATTTCATAGGTGTTTCATGGATTACAGTCATACCCATTCTTTTCTTCATAAGCCAAATATAACATAATACACAAGAGTTTACCCATAAGCTTACCAACTCAACTAAGTCAAAAATATAGGCTTTGATATCCACTTGAGCAAAGCAACCATGAAACCATAAATTTCTCCATGAAATACACCTTTTTTAGCACAAGCATTTAGTCCCAATTGAAGCAAGATGATAAGCTAGAGGTAACAAAATGTGAAAATTATGCATCTCCTTCTCAGCCTACCAGGACTTAGTGTGCAAAGGACACTACAAACATTAAGAAGGAAAGCAGACATTTCAGATTGAAGGTTGTGCTTGTGACTCACGAAGAGACTGCTTGTCTACCAGATGTCTATTTCCCCCTCTATACAGGAGTGATCTATTACATTTACAAAAGTATAATAACAACCTATTGTATCCCAAGACAGTCCCTATTATAAATCCCATTTCTGTGTATAGAGTAAGAGAAGTTATTTGGTGCCGAAATTGTCTGAAACTATCCAAGGGCAACAGAAAATGCCCAACCTTTGGACCCAGAAGCATGGAGATGAGAGTCTGAATTATTAGGCAGCCTGCATGTATGGGGCAAGGCTAAAGGAAGTTAAAAAGAGAAGGGAATTTGAACTCTCATGAGCTGGGGGCTGAGCAGAAGCAAAAGGGTGAGGGATGCTAGGTAAAAGATAAATTTTAAGCCACAACTAGACATGAAAATGCCTATATGCAGACCCCTAGCAGGATCTAATGGGGATTGTGCAGAGAAGCATAGCCCCTCAAAAGCTCTTTTCCAGCATTTATTAAATGTGGCTTTTTCTGGCATTTTAACCCATTTATTTCAACAGCATCAAATTTTGTTAATTCAGACTTTAAGAATTAGTGTCTTCAAAAGTAGAGTGGAAATTCATGAGTAGTATTAGAGCTCTCATGCAGTCTGAAAGTATGTATACACTCTACTAGGCTACGTGCAGGAGATATATAATTTAAAAGGGTCTTTAAAAGTTTTTCTGTAGATGAGCACTTTGATAATTTCATTTCTGGACTGGAATATTGATTTTATTGAATTCATACTTGAAACCTCCCCTTCTGTCTATTCCTGGGGTTCTTAACCTGGGGCCCATGAACACCAACCGATATTCTCTAAGTGACAGGATGCATAACATTGATAGGACACAAGTACTGCTAGGTATGTGAGGTGTGGGAGAAGATTGAATGATTCTCTGATGGAGAATGGAGGTTAATGTATTCCCTCAACCTTGGGGTCTAATAAGGTCATTTGAAAGAGATGTGAAGAGAACAGTAAATCTGCCAGCAGAAAGCTGACACGAGGTCAGACTGACTGATTAAAGAGCAAAGGAAGAGGTTTTTGAGGTGCAAGACACTGCCTTATTCTAATTCAGTGATGAGAATCTCTCACCTTGTGAAATATATAATCATAAACCATTTCTTAAGGTGATGACTCTACATTATGGTCAGGCAAGTTTGACCAGTGCCTCCAGTTTTGATTATCTATCCTCGTTGGGGCAAGATACTACGACTGCAGGATCGAGGGAATACACAATACCAAAATCTTTATGCCTCTACGCACTTGACACTGGAGAAAAAATCTATATCCTCATCACTGAACTTAACACCAATCACTTGCAGGTATCTTCCCCATTCTGCTCAGAGACTTCATCATCCTGTGCCTCTATCTTTTCGTAGGCAGTCATCATTTACCTTCTTTCACTCCATTACCATCTCTCATCTTCCTGATAATTCTTTTTGCATTATTTTATTCTTTCCCCATCACTTTTCTTCTCTGTTATTCATTTTTATCCCTGCCTTGCCTTCCCGATCAACTGCTACCCTTCCCTGTAACCTGGTTACTGAACTCCATCCCTGGGCACTTTTATGGAGAATAAAGTGTTATTCTTACAAGAGATGGATTTAGGGAGGCAAAATAGAAAGGGTGAAAGAACATCAAAGAATGGCCAAGAATCAAACCAGGGCCTCTTAACTGCTTGTCAGTTATCCTACCATACTAACAAAGCACAATGACATTCAAGTGCTCTTCTCCTTGCATTACTTATCCACAAATGTGGAAAAAGTTATTCAGCTTCCCAGTAACCATGGCTTACTTTCCTAGTTTCCCCATCCCTGAGATTCCTTCTATCTGCCTTGCCTTCTCAGTTGGTTGTTACACTTCCCAGTAACCTGGTTACCAGGTTACAGAACTTTTTCCACCTCTGCTTATGCATATTCCATAGATATTTGTTACCAGCATAATTACTAAATTCGTACAAGTATAAAAGTCTACACAATTGCTCAGTAAATGAGGCTTTTGGTTATGTAAATAAACAAGCCATGGAATGTAACAGTCCATCATTAGTTATCCTTGCAACTGGTCTCTATTAAATTCCTCCAGCAAAAACAGCTGTTGGTCCAACCCATTCAGAATTCTCAACTTTTAAAATAAAAAATCTTCTCACAATTGTGCTAACACCATTCAGTCTACTCAAGTTCTACAAAAAATATTTCCAGTAGTTTCCAACAAGCAAATGTTTGACTCAACCAGCAGCAGCTGAGAAAACCTGGTTTAAAATTCTATTTTTCAATAGAATTGTCATTGAATCCCATATTTGAAATATTTAGGATTTGGACCATGGAACATGAGTAAGAATGCATTTCTTTAAGAGCATTCATTTAAATCCCGAGCTGATTTGGTCAAGTTGCTATCAAGAAGTTCATGCTGTAATATTTTGTAAAATTGTCCATATGGTAGAGAACTTCCAAATAGCAGCTGGCTACTATGGAGAAGGGCATGTGTTGTGCCCACATGTCCATAGACAATTTAATGGCAGGTACTAGGCTTGATTGATCCAATGGCTGGGTAATAGACAGTCTTTTTACAATACCTTCCTAAAATACAGAAACTGAAGTATTACTAGTTCAATAGATAAGCATGGACCATTACAGGCATACTAATAAAGACTAAGACAACATTTTTTCTTGAAATTGAAGGAAAACTTCCTAATAATTACTAAGTCCAGCTGATTGTGAATGTCATCAGGGATTTATAAATATTTCACTAGTATTGCCTGAAACTGATTCTTGCCATATTCAGGAAAGTGAGAGGCTTCTCTTGTCTAGTGAGAAAGAAGTGAATAATTCAGGGTTTGCTGATAGTTTGCTGGTAATGAAGGCTAAGCCATCAGTTGACAGTAATGATGAACGTTGCTCAGAAATCTTAGTGTACACTAACATCTGACTAAGCCTGACTTTTACTTTAAGTAATAGCTAAGATAAGTTGTGTCTTATTAGGAAACCAAGTGCATCAGCATTCAAAGCATAGGATTGACTGAAGATACTACTTCCAATACATAAAATAGTCATGAAAGTATGCACGAAAAAGCAGGAAAATTATAATCTCCTACATTTTTTATGTATTGACAACATTCCTAAAAGCAATACTGGAGGGAATGAGAGTTCCATTTCATTACTTTTATTAAAACTTTAAAATTAATTTTGGATAAGATTCTGTAAATAATTTTCACTGAGTATTAAGGGATAGTTAGAAAAAGATAGGGTCTATCCCTTTTAACATCCCATTTAATGCTGTAGCTATAACTCCCTACTATCCTCACTACTAAACATCCCTTAAAAACAGGAGCTAGCAGTCCGATCACTTATGACTTGAAATTCAATGCTAAATGTAGTAAGTTGAACCCCATTCTTCTATCAGTTTTCCTGCCCCCCTATACTTTAATGTTAGGTGAGTTTCAAGCAATGGAAGGGTGCCACATACACAAGTATCCTGTGGAACTTGGACCCTAGAAATGCTCAGCATGGGGGTGTTGCTGATGATATAAGCAGGTTTGGGCTGCCCTAACATAGAGATAACTGGGTCTAGGGGGCCCATGTATTTAGCCAAAATAAACACGACCTGGAGCTGGACTTGGACTTGAAGTTCGTCCACCATTCCATCGCTTTTAAAATTCCTATGCTTCTGTAGATCGACTTTAAACCCTGCAAATATGCTTAGGTACAAGTCAACACCCAGCATTACTAGGAGTAGGCTATTAATATGTTTATCTTGCAATATTAACATGGGAATTTAAAAGAAATCCAAAATCACAACAGCGTTTGGTTAACATCAGCCAATCTGCAAGGATCCAACTCGTTAGGCTTAGGCCTACCTGGAGTTCGGCCCTCTCGACTTCCCATTGAGCCTTCTCCATCTCAAACCGAGCCCACTCATGTTGAATGAAATGCAATATTCCGGGGATGGAATACTGGACACCCACAGATTGCTGTCCTTCGTCATTCTTGAATTCACACTTCACATTTCCTGAAAGTGGCGGCCCGATTTGGCCATTCTGATTTTGGGGGGCTTCGTCCATTTGAGCAATATCACGGACAAATTCATTGATGTTGCCCTTCATATCGTCAACGCCATTACTGTGACGTCAATGGCCTCATGAGAAACATGCAGTGTTGCCAGCGGGGCAGAATCAATTTTTTGTGTAACCTTTATGCTCAATGATAAAATAGATGAGCGAATCCTCGATATTCGCCTCTCGCCAGATAATAGAAGAGAAAGACTAGCAAAAGTATCCGAAGGAGCAAAAGATACACGGAATATGGTTAATGTCATGGCATCGGGGTGAAGAGTCTGGTTTTATGAATAAAAAAGTATGATTGAATTCATGACCATACGAATGAAAGCCACGACACTGGCAAAGCGAATTATTATTTTAAATTCAATAGAATAAATCAGATGAGACCCAAATTGGCTCATTGAACGAAAAACAAGTTCTTGATGGGATGGTTAGGTTCATACAGGGAAGCGTGAACGTGCTGCCCTCGGCCGAAATGCAAGGCAAAAGACGAGTCAGGCTAGGCAGGGGATAGAGTGCACCACTGTTCAAAACGTGAGGGGGACATGCTGAGGGGGCGGAACCCGTTTTCCCGAGGTGAGTCCATATAATTCCTCTCTCAATGAAAATTGCATTTATTTGGCTTTGGAAGAGTGAGACGGTGACGATCTTTAGGTGCTTCCGTCGCACGAAGAATTACGATATTCCAGTAACGTGCTCAGGAAATCCGAATGGAGAGGGGGGGTTACCAGGGCTGTTTCTTTCACCCTAATGGGGGGTTAACATATGAAAAAACTGGTAATCCAACCTGTCCTTGTGTCCAAATTGAACAATTTGCGAGAATCAAACCTGTAAAATTGATCCCAAGTGGGAGGGAGAGGGGATTATGACCCCCAACCCCCCCCCCCCCCCTTGGGTACGCCACAATGCAAGATTCGTATCGACGGAGCACCTAAAAGACGTCAGTCCTTGACGTCAAAATTTTGGTCGATTGTGTGTTCCTCCTCCAGGATGGCATAATTTAGGGGGGAACACCCAGGAAATGTCCCGTTACCCCATATACGACTGATTCTAGCGAAAGTTATCCCATTCCCGAACAACTTCCCTCCGTTACAACTTTCATGCTTGGAATCAATATTAGGCATCCCTTCCTTCCCGACTGAATCTGAGCTCCCCTAGATCCATGCGAAACAGATCAGTGCAGGGTCGGACGGGCGACCTAGGAGCCCCCCGGAAAATTGCTGACAAAGGGCCCCTCCTTATAACCCAGACCCTGGATAGAATAGAATAATATAGAATCCGGCCCCCGTACCGGGTGCCTTTAGTCTGGGTCCCCCGGGAAATTTCCCGGTATCCCAGTGGGCCAATCCGACCCTAGGCCACTGATTAAGCGACAACATAAAAGTGTCAATATAATTAAAATTTCAGAAAAGGACTCTGTCTCTGTGTCACTTTCAAGAAAAGAACGGTCACTATTGCTAGGAAAGATGCCGCACAGACGGAAAGCCTTTCACGTGGAAAGGAGAAAGGCGAAAGGTCATCCCAGCCACCTTCGGTGCGAAATTCTACGTTGATTCCAATATTTTCTCCCGTGAATCCCACTGTAGCCGCGGGAGACGCCCAGTTGAAGGTCATGGGTTCCTTGCTTGCAGAAATTGATTGCTATGTGAATTTGCCCCCAAGGCGAGAACCGCTTCTGGTTCATGATTGATGCAGAAGCTTCGCATTACTCGAGACGTCTGGGACAACCAGAAGCGAAAAAAAATTCGGCATGGTAGGGATGGATAAAAAAATTTCGAAAACGTATGTATGTTTGTATATAACACATGGTAACAAAAATCGCGGCTATTCAAACGTAGGAAAATTCTGGTATTTCGTCAAAATGGAAATAATTTCTAGCATGGAATCTGATCTTCAAAATTAGCTATGAACGGTGTCAGTTTATCGTGTGGAATGTTGGATGTTATCAACTTGTGTGTATTCGAGAAAATGAAGTCGAAAACTTCGGTACAAATGATCGTGTGATATCCCGTCCACAAAAAGAGACGGGCATTGGAAGAGTAAGAATCGCCTGCGATAGGGCATTCAAGAAAAAATGAATAAATTACTGGGAATCGGAAAAGTTCTAACTCTTGAAAGAATAAGAATTTTCAATTTTATTCGAAAGTTACAGAACACCATTCTCATTGTGATTGCGCTGAATCGCAAAGATGGTGGGAAAACTCCACAAAATTCAGTTATTGATTGGTCCTGAGAAGTGTGAAATTGGCGCAGTTTAAGGAAAAAGTCAGGGAATTTTTTAATGTTTGGTATTGCTGCTATTTACAAAAATGCTCACCGTCATCGACACGCAGACTACTGTGACTCCTTGTGAGTTACCTTCACAACACGACGGACAAGTTCTTAGATGGACATGTTTGCAGATATGGATCTAGATTTAATATGAAGACTCTGAAGTCATGCTTAATGTCAACGGCATGGAGATCGATATCTTCCCGAGTCCTACTTTTTCTCGAGAAAACATGAAGCCGCCCATGAATCCAATAATCCATATCGTCGTTTCGGCTGGGTTACAACTCGCGGAGATTCGGAAAGATGCAGCATTGAGGACGATTCGAGCGACGAAAATAGGCGTAGACATACTCTGAATATGGGCAAATAAAAGATTTTCGCTTGAACATGCTCAATGTTAACGTATGAGTGAACATAGCACCAAAGTCTGCAACTGCGGAGGGTTTACCCGACTGAAAGGCAGAAGTGGCCAACTGGATGCTCCTCGAGCGCGATGTTGTTTACTTTGAGAAAAAATTTACGAAGTAAAAATTAAGCATGGAGTGGACAGAAGAAACTTTTCCGACCAGATCATTTCGCCTGTAGGCGCTACTAGCGCCTCTTCGCAGACAGAAATTTGTGGCACTGTTTCTGAGGCACTACGTGCCATTCCTTCCACTACGGGGAGAATGAGATTTGAGCGCCTCTTATTATTCCTCTTTACGTTTTAGGGAGTGTCCTATTCATAGACGAAATTGTACTAACTAATTTTGCTGGCTCGGCATATCGACCCCAGAGCCAAATCTGTTGCTGTCCTTTCCTCAACGTCATCCTCATTCGAGACTCCCACAACCTTGGTATTCAATTCGGCTTCAGGCTGAGATGAATATTGATCACTTCCCTGGGATCAGGTGGCTATGCCGCCACGAAGCTCTATTTATATTTCATTTTCGAACAATAGTGGACGAGGTTCATTTCCAGATTGAAAAATGTATTACTAGAAAGAATGCCTGTCCTCTGCTATGCTTCAGGCCATGGAGGCTACTTCTCTGTCTGCCCAAACGAGTGAATTTGTGATCTGGTGAGTGCAGGACCAGTCGCTTCTCCGTGCCGAGAGATAGATTGCCCATGTTGTCTTCCACTGTCTCTATCTATTTTATTTATTTATTTGAAAGCTTCTCTATCCATTATATATTCAGGCAAAAAGCATTGCGACATTTCTTACAGTATATCCTCAAGGTAAAGTGTTTGTTCTTGCAGGTAAATTAGTTGCGACTCGTATCAATTGGTTGAGTCAGCCAAGCATCGCAGCGGGAGTCAAGGACAACACGATGAATTGGCGGATGCTCCTGCTCATTCTTCTCCCTTTGGTCTACGGCCAGGAACAGCCGATCAAGGTTTGGAGGAAGAACGCAAATTGGGAAAATAAGGAAAATTGGGCAGGTGAAACGAAGCCGGAATGCTCACGAGACACGGCGGATTTCACAGCTGCTCCCCGAACTACCATTTTTCTCTCCGGGAACTCCGCGGTCAAGGGGATCCTCCTCGCATCCGACATGGCCTTTGTCCTCGGCAACGACCTTCGAATGACCCTGGGAGCGTCGGTCGTGGACTCTAGCACGTGTTCCAGTTCCCAGAAGGTCTTCCAGCGGGGAGCTGACCTCTGGCACGACCCCAGGAACTGGCTGCATACGGAACACCCAGAAGAACCCAATCCAGTACCACACTTGGAGCGCATCCCTTGCCACCACGATGCTATCTCCTTCCCGAGGGACAGCACCTTTAAGGTTGAGCTGCCCCCGGAAAGAACGTGGGCGGTGAATCTGGGAAAGGTAAAGTACGGAGACGATTGGTTGACTGGAGATGCGTGGAGAAAGTTTCTCAATTCAACCTTGGGAAAGTCACAGTTCACAGAAGGCAGTCTGGCTAAACTCTTGATGGGGCAAGCCTGTCCTGAACCTTCTGGGTGTGTCTGCGGCAATGCAGAAATGCGGGATGTCGTCTGTGGCCTCGTGAAGAATACCTGCCCTCAACTTACGTGCGATACACCCATTAGACCAGAGGGATCGTGCTGCGATATCTGTGGGTCGTATCTGACGGTGCAGACAACGGAAAGTACGATAACCTTGCAGACCCTCAAAGACATAATCAAGACAGCCCTCGCAATCGAAGATCTGACGTCTGTCAGATCATATACAAGCAAAATCAGTGCAGTAGAAATACAGGTTGTTCTTGTACACGCTGAAGGACAACATGGAAAGACTATATCTGCTGCAGAAGCGATTGAATCTCAAATTCGAAAAATGTTGCCTAAGAATGCCAATGTTGCTGCCTTTTCCAGTAGCTCAACAGGCCTGGGCTTCGGCGGTGGTCTCATCTTCCTAATCGTACTCCTTATCGTTTTGGCCGCTGCTGGCTTCGGATATTTAGGCATTTACCTTTACCAGAACGGATACTACAGAATTCGCATACCCATCGGTCACTTGCCTTGGGTGCACTTCAATAACGACCCCACAGAAGCCACGGAACTGAGCGGGGAACATCATATTATTACTGCTTCCTGGATGGAGCCCCACGATCAGGGTGGCGAAGCATCTGGATTCAACAATCCAATTTATTGCTCAGATGCTCCAGAAAAAGACGGTGGAGTGTTGGTACGGGAATCAGAGATCCACGAGGACGGAACAACCCGGGCAATCGAGAATCCCATTTACCAGCGAGACTTGGAAGGCAAAACACCAGAAGGAACTCAGGAGCCTGAGGGAAAGAAGCAGGAGAAATCTGGGAAGGATGGTTGAAGTTGTGAATTCCCAAGTCTGACGCTCAGCCCTTTGGAGCACATACCTTGCACAGATAGTACTCAGCTATGCCAAATAGTAGCACCACACTCAGAAGTCATGCAATAAAGTAAGACCCTGGTATGAAGTTCAATTTTTCATTGATAAGCCACATCAAACACTACATGCAATTCAATCATATCACAGAACAGATCAGATGAATGAGTAATTGTACACAGTTATTAGTTGTAACTTCAAGCTGCCTTTTTGGAAATGATTTTGATTTCATGTCACAGTTCCAGGTAAACTGGAGACTAATTTTAAAAACAAAAGCCCAGGAAGCTAAACCTGAGAATGAATGTTCCAATTTTTCCCCAAAAATGTTCCATGCAGAGCATTTTACAGACCCATTTCTCACAGTAAGATTCAACTGAACCTTCTAGGGGGAAGAGTGCAACATTGAAACCAGAGACACAAGCTAATTGTGGATGGAATATTTTGGTCCCTGCTTTTTACCTCTGAAATGATTTACAGGAACTCCAATCTGACAAGTTTATATCCCAACCACACAAAATCCAGGGGAGCTGTGGGGAAAAACCCATATGGGAGCAGTGAAGAATATGGGCACAAATGGGTAAGAAAGGGATTCTTAATCCCAACTGACATCTAAAGAATGCAGGCATTTCAAGAAATGGGACCTAAACTGTTTAACTAGATCTACAAAATCTACTCTTAAAGCCTCATTTCATATTCTTGTGAAACTCCTGAAATTGGGATTGCAAACTGAACCTTGGGTGTATGAAAATCACGCAACACTCAAATGAGTGAACAAAATAAAAAAGCACTATAAATTTTAAAAAAGTGCAGTATATTCTTGAACTTTGCATTGCCCAATCTATAAAACTAAGTGGAAAGGAAGGAGAAATAAAGACAACACCTGTAATTTAAAAAGTCAATTTCTTCTCAACTGGAGATTCCAGTCGTTATCAAATAGAAAAATATCACAAGGACATGAGATTCTATGGACTAGAATGGCAGACACCAGAAGTGTGATCACAAGGAAAACTAGCAAAAAACCCTTAGATAGTTTCTAATGATGTGCTCTTCAAAGCAGCCACAACACTAAGGGTAACTGTACACACAAACAAAACATTCATTTCCAAAAAGAAAATCTTTGGAAGAATAACCAAAAGACCTTTGAAAGAAATATCTACTTTTTGCAAATCTTTGGTGTTTCATTCTAATGGATGAATTGCTCATCCAAGAATTTCAGAAATGGCACTAGTATATATAAAGCAGAGAATATGGCACATATGTATATGCACTAGGGCATTCAGTATTTTCACCAATTCAGGTCAAATTGAAATGAGGTACTCCTCAGAAACTTTTTATATCGCAGTGCTACAGTCCTTTCCCTTCAATATGCACCCAGATGAAAGAGTGCCCAGCGAGATTAGCCCTTTGCTGTCCATATCTCCAGGCAAGAGTGAAAGAAACTAAAAGCTTTAAAGCTTTCTTTAACTTTTCTGGTCCACTGTTGGGGGAGACACTAGAACTGGTGGTGATAAGTACAGTGTCACCTGGTACAATTGATTTAGCTACTCAGATATGTCTATCTCAACATCTACAGGTAATTTGACCTTGTACCTTGAAGAGCAATTCACTACACCATGGGGAGGATCATGTGTCCAACATCATCATCCATGAGGATGATAAGGCTGGGCATCACAGAGATCAGAGTAAATGCTAAATAAATATTCAAAATGTCAACCATTGTCCTCAATGTTGGCATCCACTCCTTGCACCCATTATAGGATGCATGGTGTCCCTCAGAGGAGTTGATATTCAACCCATAATTGACTCTTTCCCTGGTGTAGCAAACTGCTCCATCTTGATTCAAGGTCATGAGACTTAAAGACACTGGGGAGATACACTAGACTAGACATTTCCATGGAAAACCACTCAGACTGAAGTTAAAATTATGACTGCATGAAAGGAACATGGAAGCAGTTTTGGAAAATTTTCCACTCTCTCAGCTCCCATGTTACTTTTGACCATTCCTACTCAACTATGACTTTTAAAGATCTCTTTCATTCTTTTTTGCAAGCTTCTTGAAAAATAAAGCGTATCTTTGCCTATTTTTGCCCCTTTTTTTCTAGCATGCTCAGTGACAGAATGGGAAGCTTCTGGCAATCCTGCATTGAGGCATGCAATTATCACTCAGGATCTGTAGCAGCCATACTTGCTTATATCTCTCCTGAAGACTTGGTGGATAAGAGAAGCTCTGGCACACAGATAAAACATAATGTGAAGGACAGGACATAGAACTGAATTGAAGAATCATGGAATTGAAGGATCTGTGAACAGTAGTGGAAAATATGAATGGTGAGATCAACCCCAAGGAAATGCAAGTGAAGGAAGGCCTCTTGTTATCTCTCAGAGTCCTATGTCATCAGTTTCACCCGCCAGCACTTCAGGGGCGATTGGCTTATCCTTGATCATGGCAATAATACAACTAAATAGGAAGAAAAACAAAAAAAAATCACATAGAAACTTCTGGTACCATGCCATAACAGACAGTGAAATGGGCCTAGCATAAAAACTACTGGAAAAAAAGCTGATACTGAGGCATTGAAATAAATATCTTCAGTTTTCTTCATTATGATTCCTTGGCTGATGATGAAACAAGTACATATGAAACCATTCCTATGGTTAACAGAATGCCATTGTCTCATAATATGAGGCAACCTCCCCATAAGAGAAAGCGGCTGAGAAAGGCAGCCTTTCGTATACAAGGGTTTTTTCCACATAATTGATAAGGAGGCCTATCACCCTAAATTTACTATTCTACAGTACAAATTGAGAACCTGGCCTCACTCAGAGGCAGTCAGACTTCTCTTCCTGTCCTACTTTCTTAACAGTTTAACCCCTTGTCTGGGGAATTTAAATCTTGTCTACTCACATATTGGATAATTTCTGCTTGCTAAGCCTGACAAGTAACATATACTCATCAGCAAAAAAAGTTCAACCAAGAAGGAGTTGAGTGATTTGGATGAAATTTGGTATACAAGGTCATACAAGCATACCATGAACTTGATTAGAGTTTCAAGTGCGTTGGATGGACATTAATGGAGAAAACTTGCCAATTAATCCAATTTCAACAATGGCTATGGGGTCGCACTAATTGCCGAAACTGTTATGATTGCTTTTACTGATGAAACATGGCAGAAAAACTCCTAAAAATGTGCAGAAATATCTTGCAAAGTTTTGTGATTGTGAGATGAGGCAATGCAGAGAAAACTTGCTAAATGCCAGAGTAATGGGGATGCATTTATCAGCTTTGTGCATCAGGCTGATGCATGCATCAAATTGCTGCATGGTAAGCATCCTGATTATGCTCCTGGACCAAACACCCTAACAACATGTAGGAATTGCTTCCAGAGATCTCCTTTTGGCACTACCTTGCCATTAGACACTCAACAATAGACCTATAGTGAAGTGGCTTGAGGTGCAGAGAAAGGAAACTGGCACCTTCAATGTTGCTGCCCTCTTCCCCAATTCCTCTGGCATTTAGCAAGTTTTCTCTGCATTGCCTCATCTCACAATCTCAAAACATTGCTAGATTTTTCTGCACATCTTTAGGAGTTTTTCTGCCATGTTTCATCAGTTAAAGCCATCTAGGTAACAGTTTCAGGCTATTAGTCAGGTTATTAGGCTATTAGTCAGGTTATTAGGCTATTATTTCAGGTTATGAGGCTATTAGCCTCATAGCCGCTTTTGAAATTGGATTAATTGGCAAGTTTTCTCAATTAATATTCACCTCTTACACTTGAAACTCTGACTGATTTTATAGTATGCTAGTATGAGCTTGTGTGCCAAATTTTATTCAGATTGCTCAAGCCTTTTTTGTGATGAGTATACTATTTCATATTGTAATGTTCACATGCTCCATAGGAGTAAACATTACACTGATATGAGTTACTTGATGAATGAATACCTTAAAATTAAGACATCATACCCATGATATGAGAGAAAGGTGGTGATGTCTAAAGGTGTCATACCCAAGGGGTTAAGCCGCATTTCAACGGACAATCAAGGAAAAAGTCTGCTCCTTTTTCACCTGACAAAAGCTTATCTTCCTCTAAACATATGCATTAAGTAGGCTAGAAAAAGGCAGTAGCACAGCTGAAAGCTTTTGACCCCATTCAGTTTTATGATTTTGATCAAACTCAGCTAAAATCGTTGGTGCTACTGTGGTTGAAAAATCTGCTAAACTCTTATCTTCTGTCAACGCTTCAGAGGGAAGGAGAAAGAATTAGAGAAAGATGAAGATAAAAGAGAAATAGTGCATTTAAGCATTTGCAGCGAGATAGGCTACTAAATCCCTGACTGGCGCTCTCTGAAAAAGCCCTAAGCCCAATTGACTTCAGTGATCTTTATGATACTATTGTAGGAAAAAGGCGAACTGGGGTGACACTTCGTCAACCTTCCTGGGATAAATTATATCCCTCTGAGATATCCTACAATGGGAGACACCTACAGCTTTAGCTCCTTGCAGCAAGAGATAGATTGAGTGTCTCAAGTTCATTTAATTAATAATCATTATATTGGTATGCCTATGACATCCGAATAAATACTATAGGTTTTCCCGATTATATTCGTCATGCGTTGTTTCAAATTCGGCAGCGCTCCTCTCATTTTTCCGGTTCGATTTTGGCAAGAGAATTCCTATTTCGGCATCCTCCGTTTAAGTTTCGGCAGCGCAAGGGATCTCCTATTTCTGGCGAATGAACATGGGTAGGCAGAGGAGGGAAGAGCCAATGTTTCCACATATTAGTTGCATTCTGTGAAAAGCGTATTATCTACAGATAACATGGTCTGGTGCTCACCAATCCAATGCATAGGATATTTACGGCGAAGAATAATTCTTTTATCGTAGAAAGGAATGCGCATGGACATTGAAGCGATTCTAGTCATCCATACGCTCTCTCCTTCTGCATCTAGTCAAGGTTTTGCATGGCGAAAGCACGCAAAGCTATTCCGATGTATCCAACTGCTGCCTGCTGAAAAAGGCTCGAATGTCATGGGATGCCCTTGCCATTTCCTCAGATATAAGTTTACTATATTATTGGATAAAACAGGCATGTGTAACATCTTCGACTTAGAAGGAACTCAAATGTGAAAATATAGGCTCTTTCCCTTTCTTCTCTGCATGCCTATGTTCATTCGTCAAAAATAGGAGATTCCCTTACGCTGCTGAAATTGAAACGGTGGGTGCAGATATCGCAAGTCTCTTGCCAAAATGAAACTGGAAAATCAATAGGAAAGGAGCGCTGCCGAATATGAAGCGACTCTGGTTGAATATGGTCCGGAAAACCTATATTACTGTTTTTCCAGTAACGTTACATTACTGCCGATCGCTGCGAACAACGCCACAAATTAGGCTTAGCAGGGCTACTTTATTTCAATTATCTCACTCCCTCCAAGGGTGTTTTCAAAGGGTAGTGCAGAATATTTACTTTGGGGTTGTCGCACTATGGGTCGGTGACATTGTTGAATTTATTGGGCTTCTCAAGAGATTTGCGGGCAGAGAAGAAAAGCACTAAAAAGAACATTCGCAGGTGCACGTTTGCGTTGATAGGGCTCGACTACGCTGGGAAAAGATTGAAAAGAAGAAAGGAACAAGGCGACAAGATGACATGAGTCACTTCAGTGCGGATTAAGAGAGCAAAACAAGTTCTTCTTCATTTATTAAATTATAATCACTTTTTACTAGGGCTGTACCAAAGTATCGGCTAACACCGGTATCGGCCGCCGGTGTTGGACTATCGGTCACATCGGCCATCGGCAGGTTTGGAACCGACCGGTGCCGATATTCAAAGAAGAACGTGCTGAATGAGGAAAATTTAAAAAATACCCAGTGAACGGGGCTCGGTAACCGATGCTCAACGGCTATAGGAAAAAATTAGGGCCATCGCAGTTCATCCATCAATGTATTGATGTCATTTTCGATAGTTGAGGTATGGTAGGCTTTATCACCTCCCCCTCCAATTCCTCGAATCACAGGCGACAGATTATGGAAGGCGGATATAGGTCCGCGCCCCGATCGAGGCAAGAAATGGCGGAAACGAGGCATAAATCTGATCCCGATCGCAGTGAGAAAAGACTGAATCCGCCGGCATCGATGCACTATCAATGTTTCAGGTCGATAAATGGGTGTATTCGAAACACCCAGCGTGGAAGCAATAATAAAATTGAACGTGCATTCATAATACGTCTATTTGACTTTTAAAAAAATTTGTCGAATGCTTTTTCGCTGTTTCTCTACACGTCACGATAGGCACCGGCACCGGTACCGGCCAATAGGTATGAGAAAATAATCGGCCATCGGCCCACCGGCCAAATGTGGCCACCGGTACAGCCTACTTTTTACTCTTCCATCTGTCTGCTATAAAATAGATAATTCACCTAACGGCCAAATATTTTCGTCCGTGTAAATTTCCGTTCTACTCTTCACTAACACCTATCAATGAAAATATTGTTTGCCGTTGCGTCAATGGTCCAGGTCAACGCATGGATACTTCACAACTACAGTGATTTTCCATTGATTGCATCCCCCCTACTGTAGCGGAAGCGGGAATTACATGACTTTAAATACTGATTTAGCCAGGGGCAGTTATTTTAAGATGGTGGATTTAGTCAGTTGAATTACATGTGGCGCCATTCAAAATGGGTAGGGGGTGGGCTGCAATAAAATGAAAATATGTACTATCGTAAGAGCCCTAATATTAACATCCAGATTCACATAAGCCAACGTGATGCCCGATGTTAAATCGATAGACTTGCGCTCGGGTGTCTGCAGTCACACTATAGACATGGAGGGAAATGGCACCCATCGCGCACTCCTAAGATTCGGATATCAGTAATACAATTTAGGGGAACGCTGATATTTATCGAAATCTCTAATATCGGGGTCAATGCCGATACCAATATAAAATCGTTACAGTCCTATTTTATCCACCACATGACAACAATAGTGGCATTTCCATAAGGGCCAGAAACGAATCAAACGAATTAGGAATTCCAGGAATGAACATTACTGAAATTGACCTTCCAAGACCAAAATTACTATTGAAAGATATGGAACATAAGGTGCGCACTTTAGCCCTTCCTGACTATAATAAAAAGGAGAAGCCACAAATATGAGGCAAAAGTCTGAATTTTAAAGCTGTCTTACTTTACAGGATTTAAACAACCCTGAGAGAGTTTGGAGTTGAATGCTTCCTTGCTAGGGACAAGTGAGGGGTCCACATGACAAAAAAATTGTTGCTTTCAAGTTGTACAAGCCAAAAAGGAAGACAGAAAGAGGCAGAGCTATATATGGTCGAATCCTCACCAATAAAGGTAGACAAAGAAAAATGTGAGATGGTAACAGATGGAGATCATTGTATCACGCATGTGTTTCTTCAAGCGTCCTTGGGTGTACATTTCAGTTGGCTCAAAAACACCCAAGTTACTCCTTGGCACCTTGTAATACCTGCATGAAGAAAATAAAGAGGAAGAGGCATTTAAGATTTGTGACAATTGAGCCTATAAGAGGCTTAGTTGAGAATTGAAGATCCCCATTGAACACTTACTCTCGTCCCCACCAAACCAACAGAGGGATTGCAAGCAGAGATAAAAGCCAGTTTCCTGTGAGGAAGAGAGTAGCAACTAGGATGGTATGACAGGCTAATCTTGGAACTGCCCACTGTGGGAAGGAAGATGACAAATGAAACCAAGCAGCCAATTTAGACCAATAAGGAAGTCTAGGTGAGTACAACAAAGAAAAGTTCAAGGTCTTACAATATTTAGTCTTTTGCAGCACTGATGAGCATTGAGATAATCACATTCCAAATCAGACAGAGTGATGATCTAGTTTTGCTGGAATTAAGGAAATATTCTAATATTGTGCTAGTGTTACTCTCTGCCTATTGGTATTCCAATGATATACCTCATTCACAGAATAGAGCATTTTCCTGCTGCCTTCTGTTCTCCTGGCCTTCATCCCAATAGTTGGTGATGTCACTATTAGTGACTGCTCTTACTGAGAATAGGATAAATTTGCTAGTGCATGCATATTATTAGTATGGGCCCAACCCAATCAAGCTACATGAAGTGATTCACTGCTTCCAAGAACCCATAATATGGCAACTGTACTGAATACATCCAATGTTTCTCTAAAGTTACAAGACAAGAGCAGGCTTCTAACCAGACCTTTATAACTGGGTGGCAATTACAAATCTGAAATTTCCATTGTTTCCTAGTTTTAAAATATGCCATCTGGTTTAAATAGCCACTCAGATAATAAAAAAGCAGTGCTGATTTTGGAGCATGTAGTCTTCTTTCATGGATAATCCTTTAATGGTGGATCAGCTTTGTAGGTCAGCTTGCAAACTATCCATTAGCAACAAATAGGACTGAGGCAGCTAAACCGGTCTGAGCATCTATCTCTTTGGAGGAGTGAGATGATCTGAAAAGTCCAACATCCTCCTCAGACCCATAAAAAACAAAAACCCAAAGGGATTTGGCCCATGTACATGTCATCCAGGTCAAGGAAGATATCTCAGACAGGAACTGTAAGGTTTGAAGCAGATAGAAGAGATTCACTGCTTTTCATGCCACAAGACCCGAAAATTCAGGGGTATACCTTGATCAAAAAATATATTCCCTCACTGTTTCCAGGAATTCCCATTGATGGATGTCACTCATGAATGGCAAACCAGATTGAGCTGTGAAGGTAAGATGTTTTTTAAACATATAGGATATATCTGTGCATGTGTCTTCACTTTTTTTTTATCCTCTCCACTCACTTTTGTTCATTCTTAGGAAAGAGATCGAGGAGTGGCTATGATATCAGAATTAAGAGACAGACAGGCTCAAGGTATATCATACTAAGAAAAAAAAAGCCAATGATATGGTAGGGGGAAAGAAGGAAATAAAAAAAAGAAATGAGATAGACAAGGTTGCCACCTACCAAGATCTTTCTTCCCTCTCCTCCTCAATTACTTCCCCCTCCTATGTATTGTTTCCTTTCATGAAATATGTAGGCCTAACTGTTTAGGTATCTGCCAATTTTTATCCTGATTCTCCCATTCACATTGCTCCCAGATGAAAAGGAATGCCCAATACCGTTTGTGAAGAAAAATTATTGGGTGAGGAAACTAAGAGTTATATTTTTTTCCTGCAGGTTCTGGATTAAAAGAATCTGTAAACCTAGAAGGGATGTAGCTTCCATGTAAGAGTCTCAGCACAATTCCATTAAATATTTCTGATCAGGCTAGAAGGGAAAAAAATTATGGGGGGAGGGTTTTATTATGGAGTTGATTCATGAAAGGGAACCTGAGAACCTAGGCCAGAACCATGATTAGTAAATGAGAATATATTGTTCCCATCTTGAGGGAGTGGAAAAAAGATGTAAGATAAAAAAAAGTGTTTTCACACAGAGGGGAATCTTGCACAATGCTCTTTTCTGGCAATAGAATATTTTCAGGCACATGTACATGTTTATTATTGGCCTGAGGACAACTTGACAAGATGGGAAATCCACAGTGACTAATGGAACTCAAGTATTCATTCTGCAAGTCCTATGGCAAGAAATAAGTGTTCCACAAATTCCCTTTCAGAGTTCTTTTTGCATGAAAACTACATCTTGAAGCACTTGAAACAAGCAGTGTCTTGCAGGGATAAAATAATGGATTCAGAATTTCTTTGACATTCTGTTTGTTCTTTCTATGGTGCATGCACGAAAGTGAGAGGACACTTCACATGAAAGAAATGACAAGCTTTGGGAGCCCATGTTATAAGGGCCCCAATTTCATCAGCAAATCACTGTATAGCTAGCAATGCATTGGCCCAGGGCAAAGACTATCATAAGCTCAAGCAAATGGCTTTATGAGTTTGTTCGCGGTTGTATTCTATTTGTAGGCCCGGGCTACGGGTGTACAGGTAGTACATTTTGTAGCTGTAGCCAACCAAGTGTGCTGCTGAGAGCAATACGCTCTTCTCGACAAGACAGGCCCAAGACAAGGATACAAAGTAAATCAGTAGGAAGAGCTGTGCTCCCGTCTCGCCGAGAGCAATGATAAAAACGTATGTGTCCACTGCCATCATCGGTACAGGGTCAAGGACTCCCCTTGGTCTTGTCTTCGGGTCCTCAATGCCAAGGTTTATGAAGACCTTGCTCCGGGTCTCAATGCTGGACACGGATGCCACAGGAACTATCTAGTCAGGCTGTCATAGACACGACTTGAATGTCCCCAACACCGTTAGAAATCATTTAATTATATGCCAAGTGCTACTTGATGCTGAATAAATGGGTAGCTCAATTTCAGTGCCTTGAAAGACCCAAAAGAGTGGAGATATTTGAAGAAAGTTGAACACTTTGCCTACAGCCGTGCACATCGTCAATGGTGTTTCCCCGCAGTTTTGAAACCAAGTCATGATTATACACGTTCTTCAACACCTTCGCTTTTTCACTTTTTTTTTTTTTTGCTGGCAGCCACGTCTAGGCTCGCTGTGGTTTATAAGTATGATAGCCAGTCTCGTGGATTGCAGTGTTTACGATAATGGCCATTGGCATAAATGCCTGGCCTGACGAAATGCCACCTCAACATGGCCCATATGTAGAGAACATATTTTGCTTGAAGTGTTTAGGATTGTCGTTATTCTGTATACTCGCCTTTCTTAATGCTGTTGTCAGTGGTACTCGAGACACACTTTGTTATAGCAATCGCCACGAATGGCGAAGGATATAGTGATGAGTCCACCTCGTGGTGTGGCTTCCCTTCCTGGACTACTTTGCAACTTAACCGTAGAGTCCATAGAAAATTATGAAGCAATCTTAAGGTTGTCTCTCAAAAAACACACTGCAGATTTAGACTTGCTATGTCTTAGTATTGGTCATCCAAAGATTGCCAGGATGACAGGGAGGACTATTGAATGACACGTTATAAGCAGTGTATGTTGACCAAGCTGGCTCAGCCCTAACTTACGGGATGAGCTGGAAGCCACCTGACTCATAAAATCTCCTCAGTTGATGAGACCTACATTATATAGGAAATAGCTTGGCATCTAAGTTGTGGCAGAGCTGGCTTGCTGAAATGAAAAGGGATGCCTAAGGGTAGCCTAAAAGTCATAAAAGCTGTTGCATATTCCAGAGTGATGACTTTCATCATGTTACAAGGGCCATGCATATTGTTTTCAGCAATTTCAAGCTAATGTTAAGAGTACCTTTTAAAATGCAAGATTTCATGAAAGTCTTATAGTCAGGGTAGAGGGTTCACAAATCTCAAGTAGTATGCAGGGAATAGAGCCCTTAACAGGTGATTTTAAAGTAGGTGCTGCAGACAGAGTTTCCTCACTTCCCAATGAGACATCTTAAATCAGTTAACATGCAAGTCATCTCTTTCCTATCCTGATATAATGTGAAAAGTTTTTAAATGACCACATATCCTTCAATAATGAAGAACTGTCTAGGCTGATAGCCAGAAAAAGGTTGCTCAAAGTCTTCCCACAATGCAAAGAAAGCACCTTCTACCTTGAAAGACATGTCTGTGTTTGGTGGATTGCCAGATGCTTTATCACGTTAAGAGTGATAGGGGTAATGGTTCTAGGCTAGGCCCTGAAGTCAAGGGCAAGCCAGCTTGACTAATAGACACTGCCTAAGTTAGGTTTTTTGTTTAGTGGAGGCTTCAATTTAATGCTAAGAAACCTTATCTTGACTGAAAGCTTGTTGCTGGTAAACATTACAAGCATGACATTACAATGACAAGACCTCCAAGCTTTACTCTCACTTGTTTCATGATTAGTGGCTTTTATATGTTTAGTTGACTCTGCCCTTGCTTGAATAGATCCATGTAGTGGCTTCACATCATACAGTTTGAATTGTTTCCTTTTGTCCCTATTTTCACTAAATCTCCTGTTATTTGAAATTGGAGACAAAGTGGGACTGACCTGAAGATAATACTAAGATAGGGAATAGGACTAGGCTATTAGTTTCATCTTCCCCCAGAGGTCAGTGGGCCCACCAAAAGGTCACTCAAGGTTCAACTTGTTTTGGCTAAATATAGGCGTTTTTTGATCGTTTAGTTAGTTTCTCCTCTCCTAGTTCACAGTGGATAGTTATTGCAAGAGCCAAAAGCCAAGGTACAATAAGTGGAGTAATCCTTGGGCCTCATCCAGACTCATTCTTACGGATTCTACTTTATTGCTGAACCACACGATGGAATCATCACCAGCCCAATAATCATATCTATGAGAATGTTTTCTCTCTGGCATATACTCAGGAAAGATATACCCTAAGGCTGTCTGCACTGAAGATAGACTGTAGTCATGGTTTGAAGACAATGTGAATAGTATTAGTTCCAAAGATAACTGCTTGACTTGACCATTCCTTATCCTAATGTTCCTTTTTACTGGGGATCATGATTGACCTCAGTAATAAGCTTGTCCCTATGTGTAGGTGGTTATGACAAACCTGAGGAAATGGCATCAGATTCTGAGCCCATACCAAATTTGTGGTTTGTCCTCAAAGCAGGGGAGACTCCTGAAGCCTGTGATGAGTCTCTCCTTCATGCTTATGAACTTTGTGACAAGATGGCCCTTTCTCCTCAGTTTATCAAAGAGAAAAGGGTCTTATCAATGGAACCAGGAAAGGAAGATATATTTGTGCTGGCAAAATTTGAGGGTCCTGTCTTTGATTTCTTGAAGAAAATGTTTCAGACAAAGGATCATGGACGATGTGGGTAGGTTTCATTCAAAAATGTTGTTTTGGCCATCAGCTATGATTAAAATATTTTTTGAGGTCTATGTTATCAGCCAGCACAAATAGGTCTACTAACAGGTTGGAATCTGTTAATTATGATCATGATAGTTAAGTAACTACTGTAAATATATCATACTTTTTTTATATTTTTCTTATTGATAGAACCTTGGAACTGATAGAAGTATGTCCTATTACAAATTTATTTTTGCAAAAATAGCTTGCAGTGTAATTATATGCAAGCAAAGCACTTGAAAAGGTTTTACCTGTTCTTAGAGGTTGAAGTCTATGTAGATCTAAGACCATTTTCAATTTTTCCAGCAGTGTGTTTGGACCTTTTTGTGTGATATCATGCCTGAAGATAGAAGAGCCCTTGCCAGACATGCCATATCCAATGTATTCAGCCACAATGAAGAATCTCATCATCTGCACCACTGCATTCTCCCGGGAGGCTAATGTATGATAGTTGATCTTGCTATTTTGTATCTACTACCAAAATTCATTGGGTGCCTTTATTGGGCCTCATGTCATGTGAAGTTAAATGAGGTCTTTGTCATTTATAGGTCCTCAACTGATTTTAGATTGGTTGTGTGGTTGTCTTTCAGGAAGATATCCGCCAGAAAGTGGAAGAAATGTCTGGCATCTATGCCAAGCAACTCCATGAAGGTGTCACACATCTTGTTGCTGCTCAGCCTTTTTCAGACAAATGGAAGATTGCTAAGGAAAGAGGCATCCCAATCATGAGTCGTTCATGGATAAATGTCACCTATGAGGCCAGCTTACAGCGTATATGCAGGGCAACAGACACTGAATTCACATCTTGCATCTTCAAACCCTTTGAAGGACTTATCATCTGTCTTTCTCAAGTGCCTGCCAAGGAGAAGGAGGCTCTCGTTTCTCTGATTAGCAAGCATGGTGAGCTGCCTTGTATTTAAGCTTGATTTATTTGGAGCCATTGTGTGGTCTTACAGCAAAATCATCTTTTCTGCTAGGTGGAACATTTTCTCCCAAGCTTGAGAAGGACATCACAAACATGCTGGTAACAACTTCAACTGTGAGCGACAAATACAAATTTGCCCGGAAGTGGGGTATCCCCATAGTTACACCTGATTGGGTGTTCAAGTCTGCCAGCCATGGACAAACTGAGAACATCAATGATTACAGAGTTATAGGGGTCCAGGTTTCAACTCCAGAACAGGAGAAAAAATGTACACCAGGTCTGTGGATATACTTGGTCATTATTACATTTCCATGTCAAACTGGTCTGTATCATTGAAGGAACTTTCTGAAACACTTGGAGTAAGATAAATTAACTGATATGAGGAGATAGGTATTCCAGGCAGAAAGAAAATCCAGTCATGGTTTTTTTTCTTTCAGGCAATATGCTTGCCATGTTTTTGCAAAAGAATTTTCAAAAATTGAACCAAATAACTGTATATTATCTAATGAGCTATTAAAACAAGCAAGATGACCAAAAAATTTCACTATGATAATTGAAATTGTATATTTTAGGTGAAAGATAGCAATATGTATTCATGGATTTTGAAGGATTCAAGATTGGGATGCCTCTTTCCTTAGCAATCTTCCATTTGTCTGAAAAAGGCTGAGCAGCAACAAGATGTGTGACACCTTCATGGAGTTGCTTGGCATAGATGCCAGACATTTCTTCCACTTTCTGGCGGATATCTTCCTGAAAGACAACCACACAACCAATCTAAAATCAGTTGAGGACCTATAAATGACAAAGACCTCATTTAACTTCACATGACATGAGGCCCAATAAAGGCACCCAATGAATTTTGGTAGTAGATACAAAATAGCAAGATCAACTATCATACATTAGCCTCCCGGGAGAATGCAGTGGTGCAGATGATGAGATTCTTCATTGTGGCTGAATACATTGGATATGGCATGTCTGGCAAGGGCTCTTCTATCTTCAGGCATGATATCACACAAAAAGGTCCAAACACACTGCTGGAAAAATTGAAAATGGTCTTAGATCTACATAGACTTCAACCTCTAAGAACAGGTAAAACCTTTTCAAGTGCTTTGCTTGCATATAATTACACTGCAAGCTATTTTTGCAAAAATAAATTTGTAATAGGACATACTTCTATCAGTTCCAAGGTTCTATCAATAAGAAAAATATAAAAAAAGTATGATATATTTACAGTAGTTACTTAACTATCATGATCATAATTAACAGATTCCAACCTGTTAGTAGACCTATTTGTGCTGGCTGATAACATAGACCTCAAAAAATATTT